ATATATATAGTGGATTATGGTGCCGCTAATCTGAATGGTTGGATCTCTGCTTATAAATTGCACGACCCAATGTGTAATTGTTAGCCGTTGTGTAGAGCCGCATATTGCAAGATTGGCCACCAATAACATTATTCGAAATCACACATTTTTACAATAATCTTAAAACCAAAGAAATGAAGAGGAGGACAAGTAGTGTTTGTACCCACTATTTTAGTGGGCTATGCGGTGAAACTGGTTTTATGGCGATTAATATTATATTTAGCCATATTCCAAGATGGCTGTCGACACATTTACAAATGTGACCATGCTTCTTGTTTGCCATTTGGCCCGAATAACTATCACGAGAGGAAATGCATGTGAGTAGAATTTCTATCGTCAGGCAGATACTACAATCGGGAGAAATGTTGTAAAGAGAATGTAACGAATAACTTTACTTATCGTAGTATCATAGTAGTATGAATATATCTTAGTAGTAGTAGTAGTAGTGGTAGTAGTAGTAGTAGTAGTAGTAGTAGTAGTAGTAGTAGTAGTAGTAGTAGCAGTAGCAGTAGCAGTGGCAGTGGCAGTGGCAGTGGCAGTGGTAGTGGTAGTGGTAGTAGTAGTAGTAGTAGTAGTAGTAGTAGTAGTATATAGTAGTATATAGTAGTAGTAGTAGTAGTAGTAGTAGTAGTAGTAGTAGTAGTGGTAGTGGTAGTGGTAGTGGTAGTGGTAGTGCCGTAGTGGTAGTGGTAGTGGTGGCGGTGGCGGCGGCGGCGGCGGCGGCGGCGGCAGCAGCGGCGGCAGCAGCAGCAGCAGCAGCAGCAGCGGCAGCAGTAGATAATAAGTACGTATAACCTTGAGAATATGTATAATATATATATATTGTATTATAAGATGTATACTTTATTCCGTTATAGTACCGGTGGAGTCGGTGACAAAGTGAGCTTAGCCCTGGCACCAGCACTTGCAGCATGTGGCGTAAAAGTACCAATGATTTCGGGTCGAGGTCTTGGCCATACGGGTGGCACGCTGGACAAGCTTGAGTCCATTCCTGGTTTTTGTTCGTCCATCACCGCTGACCAAATCAGGTGCGCCTGTCGTTTGTATGAACGGCGAAGTTTCATGATACCCACCATACAATTGAGGACATACACACAATTAAGGCCTTTATGTATATGTATATATTATATATATATATATATATATATAATTTATATATATATAATATAATATTATAATTACATATATATAAATTATATACATTATATAATATTTACTGACAGACGTTTTCGAATCGCTTAAAAAACCTGTGCCGCGTATTTTAGGCGAGGTTATAATTGTTATTATTGGTTGCATTCAATCGTTGCTGTTGCAGGAACATATTGGCAAATGTCGGCTGTTGTATCGTCGGCCAGACCAAGGACATAGTGCCAGCCGATCGTGTTCTTTACGCGATGCGAGATGTATCATCAACTGTGGACAGTCTGCCTCTTATTGCGTGTAATTTAACTCGATTAAGATGACGAAGACCTCATTTACGTGTTACACGGCTGCATTATCTTTGCGAATTGCTTATCTTTTCTATTGTTGTGTTTATAAAACATTCTAGAAGGAAAGTATGCCCAGCCGAGAAAACAAGAAAGTTATTCCAACGCGTGTGGTCACTGACAGGTTCAGTCAAATACGAATGAAACAAATATACATAATAACAACCCTCAATACCTTATTTATAAAGTTTATACCTCAATCTAGAACGAAAAAAAGCGGTGGTGAGTTTTTCTAGCCGCGTTCCTACGTCGTAAGTATAACTATATTATACCATCTTGGACTTGCTGCCATAGGCCTACCAGCGGTATACACAATTGAACACTATATAGTGCATGAGGGGTAGACGATTATTTGTGTATTCGCAGCCTCTATAGTATCAAAGAAGGCCGCTGAAAACCTGACAGCTTTAGTACTGGATGTTAAATATGGCCGGGGAGCATTCATGGAGAAGGAAGCCGACGCTCGTTCGTTAGCCGAGACGATGGTACTTACACGAATAATCGACGTGAAAACGTTTTATACTTATAATATAACCAGAAGTGTCATAATATATATATTATCAGGAGTGTCATAATATAGAGATCCTATCTATCATCTCTATTATGCCACTCCTGATATAACCATAATTAATTTCGTTCGGTACTTACGTGAAACAAGGAACATGTTTACAAGAAATATTCTGACTTCATGACCCGTGTTCACTCTTACGAGATGGCGTTATTTATCGCTAGCACTTGTTGGTTGTTTTATATGGGGCGCCAAGTGTTGCATAACTGATTTCGTTACGAAATCATTGATTTCGTAACGAAATCAAGTCTACAAAGTGATTTCGTTACGAAATCAAGTCTACAAAGTGATTTCGTTACGAAATCAATAACTCGAGAAATCAAAGTCTAGTTCGAACAGGTGGATTTCGGTACGAAATCAAAGTCTACAAAGTGATTTCGTAGCGAAATCAACTGATTGCGACGTGATTTCGGGTACGCAATCAGCTAAGCTGCGAAGTGATTTCGTTACGAGAACTCCAGGCTTACTTGCGTATGATTTCGTTACGAAATTCTGCTACACTTGATTTCGTTGACAGAATCGATTGTTTCGTGACGAAATCAAGTCTACAAAAGTGAATTTCTGTTACGAAAATTACTACTGTGCGAGTGATTTTTTACGAAATCATGCTCCTGCGATGTGAGTTTCGTTTACGAAATAATGCTTAACGAAATCAAGTCTACTCAAGTGATTGTCGTTACGAAATCAACTATGCGAGATGGATGTTCGATTCACGAAACAACTATCTGCGGATGTGATTTCGCTTTTACGAAATCAGTAATGACCAAATGATTTCTTACGAAAATCGCCTAATGCAAATTGATTGACGTTACGAATATCAAGCTGGACCTTGCGAGTGATTTCGTTAGAAATCATGCTACACTTGGCGCGACGGCGATCGGTGTACGCCACGTACACGGCGATACACGCACTACACGCGGGTACAGCACGTAGCACTCGGGGTACACGCACTGGTGCACGTGGTGACACGCCTACGCGCGGGCGTTACACGACGGTACGTGCACGCGGGTACAGCGACGTACACGCAGATAGCGACGACGTTAACACGCGGGTGACACGCACCGTGCACGCAGTGCACGGCGGTAGCACGCCACGCGAGCAGCACGTGTAACACGGGGAGGTATGCAAAAACGGGTAGATACACGCACTAACACGCACGTTTAACACGCACGTAAAACGCAAGCGTGCTAACACCAGTACGCGCAGGCATACACGCAGCGCTTGTAGTTCGCACGTCGCGCGGCGACGATTTCCGGTAGGCACGTACCGGCGGGAACTTCAACACCCGCAAGCTCGTACTAGCGTGAAGGTTTTAATTGGCAACGACGCACACGGAGATACACTGCGGGCCGATAACCACTCGCGGGACGTACACGCCGTTACACGCATGACCGCGCCAGTGAGGCACGCACCCGGACGTGTGGCGGCGCGGGGGCTCACACGCACGTACACGCAGCGTACACGGCCAGGGTACACGCGGGTACAAGCACGTTCACGCGTGTACACGCACGTACACGCAGATAACACCAGGTACACTCAGATACACGCACGTACACGCAGTGTACACGCAGGTACGCGCCGGGGGGTACAGTCGCGGGCAGTACCAAGCGAAGGTGCGTACAGGCCGCGGGTTACTACGCAAGATGTAACGCGGACGTTTTACACACGCGGTACACGCACGTGACGAACTTAGCAGGGTACCGGCACGCACGGACGCAGGGGTCCCGACGTACCCCCATGCTTTTTACCCACACATGGCGTCATAACAGTAGGTGAATGCTCCGACCTTGTGATTGAGAGGATAAAAATAGGACTTGCCCCACTCCCGCGCGAGATGCTATGGCTTGACTGGTAGGAACGTGTACTACGTCATCATATGGACAGACGTGGGAACTCGATGTTTGAAAGTACATTTTATTGAATATCTTCACGGCCCTAGTTTATAGACGTCACGGCTGTTAGCCTTAATCTCTAGGCATTTTGGCAGTCGTATTGAGCCGCGAACTTAGTCTATTATAACTCTTATCATAATTTATGCACGAGTAACGGATCGTTTATGACCGGTGAAATATACTGTAAAATCGTCTACAGAATTTATTTTATTTCCAAAAATGGATAATTGTGCATAATGGGTGTCTATTTTTTATTTCTGTCTAATTCAGATCGAGTTAGCTAATTCCTGGGATGTCTGTTTTAATTTATCGCATGTATGCATAACCTGTCTTTCTTTTTGTATTATATCCCCAATTAGATTTCTGGCTTATTAAAATCATTTGAGTTCGTTAACGATAATATCACTCTGATCGCAGTAGTTCTTGAAGTTCGTAACTGTTAATCACTCGCTACGTTAGTTGATTTCTGTAACGTAAATCACTTTTGTAGGATTCTTGTATTCGTTATCGCAAATATCAAATGATTTTTGCTAACAAATCAAGTCTAGCGACACTGTAGCGGTGTGGATACGTGGTCGTCACAGATTGTTAGCATGACTCTTCGTATGCGAATATACTCATCGGATCGCTAGTAGTCTGATTTTCGTAACGAAAATCTACTCGTGTATTTGCAATTTCTCGTTATAGTGAAATCATCTTTTGTAGACTTGATTGTATAAACGAAAATTTCAACTTTTGTAGACTTGATTCTCGTCTAAGATAATCGATAAGAATATACTTAGACTCTCGAAAATTCAAGTCATGCGGAATTCTTGAGCAGCGTCGCTCGGCGCGAGCTCAAGTTATTATATGTCTAGCATGAGTTCGTAACGAAATCATCTCAATTTTCGGTTGCTTAGAATATATGTAATACGAAATCATTTTGCAGTAGCTGATTCGTTAACGAAATTCACTTGCTTAGTATCTGTCTGATATTTCGTATATACATATCATCCTCGCTAATTAATGTTAGTTTTTGTATTTTTGTATACGAATATATCACATTTGTTAGAATTACGAAATAAATCTTATGCGAAACTTTTGCGTCGGCCGGCGCCGCCAGTGTTTTATTGTTACAGCATTTAGTTAGATGAAATCACTCGCAGTTAGCTGATTCGCTAACGTAATCATCGCTAAGTAGTTAATTTTTCTGCTCGATAATCACTTTTGTTTCCTTGATTTCACGTTTAACTAAATCTAATGAAATTCTTAACCTGTAAATCATAATCAGTGGTCAAACACTTCGCTCCGTGTGCCGCGCAATGCTGTGGTTGATTTCGTAACGAAATCATCTGCAGTAAGTGTTGATTTTTCGTATCGAAATCTTTCGTCAGTAGTTGATTTTTCGTAATTCGATATCATTTTGTAGTGAATGATTTGATTTTTCTTATCACTCGAAATTCAGCCTGATCGTCACATTTGGCGTCCCAATAATTTTACTCTTGATTCTGATTAGGTATGATGGCCAATGCAATAGTACATGGGTTCGTAAATACGGCTCTCGCTATGCTTAAACAATACTAATGAACATAGATTCCCAAATTAGGCTTTTTTGTCGATGGATCCATCTTGAAGTGATTAAAGTATTTCGTTAGTGCTGACCATCAGAGAATAATTAACGACCAGTACTGTCGCAGTATCTTGTCGGTGCAGTTATATTTGGTAATAAGCTAAATAGGAAAATAACAGATGTGGATTTTATGTCTGATATTCGTATCTTTTTTTACATAATACAACGTATATGATTTCTTGTGTTCAAATTTGGATTTCTTCGGTCGATCAGATCATAGATATTGATTGTTTTTTTATAAACTTCGGAACTAGAAACCTATATAAACAGGTGGATCGCTCTTTACCATAAGCTGTGGTTTTATAATGTAACATCCGGTCGGACAGAAGTTGAGTTAAATTGATACTTAGAAAAGTTGTCAGGACAAAAAATCTGGGACTTTATATCATTTCGACAGAATGTTTTTGTCAGTATGTTTGGTAATGCAAGCAATTCATGTTGTTTATGACCTTGTAATGAATATGAGTATTCAGTGTATGTTGTTTATGTAGGATTGCTTTTGACCTATATATCAGACTGCCGGTTGGAGTTCATTCTATCACATAATGTCGTGACCTTTGTAATATCCAGCATCAGTAAATCTAGCTATATTTTTGTATAATAAAGATATTGCCCTAATATTTTTATTATTTAATCTTGTGAGTTTCCCGATTGTCTTTAATATAGTCTCAGCCTTAATTACCTCTCGTTGCCTCATATTACATCGACTGAGCACGGAAATACGGCTCAATGAGATATAATATCACTAGATCTATTATAATTATCTTGTAGCGATAGCTCTTATAATTGATGTTACTCTCGATTTTACTTGTGTAGAGGCTGCAGATAAGTACGATTGATAAGAGTTGTGCATGCTCGAGAATGCCGACATTCACCTAAATTATTTCAGTCAATCATATAATTATACGCGACGCTAGCTCGGATGGTCCTCTTGCTCGTGATCGGTATAGCTTCATTTTTTTCTATATGTTAATGTTTATCATGATAAGAGGATTCGTTTTTTGTTGATCCCAACCTACGCTGTAAGGATTTTTCAGGTCCTAACCGATCTGAATTTTAAATTCATCTGGACTTTATAGATTCTTAATTACCTCTTGGATGAGACGCGTCGTGTTAATAAGCTTTACATGCATCTATCTTCCACATTATTTCCCATATCCTAACGCTTAAATATGGTGATTCGCATATAACATCGTAATTGACTCTTTCATATGAACTCTCAATCATACCTTTATCGCTATTTTTTCGTGTAGGTTACAAATGCTCCCTAGGAGTTACATCTTATTGTTTGTTAATTTTTACTCAACTCGTGATCTTTCTCTTATTATTCATTGTTGTTTGTTCAACGTACATAATTTAGGAACTTCACTGGTTTTCATAGGACAGTTAGACATCTCAGTTAGAGTGGAGGTGGAC